GGACAAAGCAGAAAAGAAAGTGAATGAATATTCACTTATAGAAGTAGTATACTTTACATATACAACTATATATTGATGCATATGTCAAGTATATGTATATTTCAAGCATATGTGTCTGAATATACAAGTCTAAAAGGTAGCCTGCATAATAAGGAACGTTCATCTTTTACTCCACCTTCCTCTTCCTCCATACCTGTTCCTTTTCTCTGTTGAACACAAAAGAAGATATTTTGAAGAATGTTGTAAACTGGTTTGCTACTATGGATGTCAATGGCTGCTGGATTCCAACATTCTATCTTCAATATCCCTTTAATACATATCTTGCTCTATACACAATTGTTTGGACACACAAAAATAAAAAGCTAACAAAGCTAGCTCTCCGCTTAAACAGGAAATTTAGTGTTAAAAGTTAAATTCGAAAAAAATATATTCCACATTTAAGCAGTTCCTGAGTACATCAGCACACACACTCCCAGTTGACAGGTGGGATACGCTTTTTGATTGTAGTCTGGCATACAGTAGGTGATGCCAGACCAAAATAGATGTAATGATTCATAATTTCATATATCGCTGGGTTATTCTGTTAAAAGATTGTTGGGCCAATAATGTTGTAATGACGTGCCAGCTGGCTCTGTATGCTAGTCCTGCTCATTAATGTTGAGTAATTAACATGCTTGTGTGGAATTATCCCAGACGGCGGTGACAGGGCCATCGATTTCCAAGAAAGAGCTCACGCTATTTTTCTACTCTTGCAAAAGTTCATCCTCAGTGAATTGTAGTTTCTTCATTAAAAGCGGTCACCTTTGGGGCAGGAATTAATGGGGGGTTATGAAGCGAAAATGCCACAATGTGACAAAAAAGGTCCCCGAAATAAAATTTTGGGGGGGCTGAAATGTCTTTGTAATTAATTAATTTGTTCTTTATCAGTGACATTTGATATTTCATTAGAGATTTCAGTTATATACTGCATAAAAACATTGATTTAATGATTTGGCATAAACGTGTTTTCTATTAAAAAGACCCCTAAAAAGTCAAAATCATAAAGCAAGTAACAATTCACCCAAAAATCATTATGTATAATATTAATACTCTCTTTGGAAGACTTTTATATACTAAAAGAAAACAATGATAGATTACCAAAGGGATTACTTTGAATTTTTAAGCCATCAATGGTTTCATTTATGTGTTAATGTAAACTTTTGGGCAATTATTGCAACTGTCAAGTTATTTACTTCATACTCACCGGCCACTTTATTAGTTACATGTGTCCAACTGCTCGTTAACTCAACTTTCTTATAAGCCGATCACATGACAGCAGATCAATGCATTTAGGCATGTAGACATGGTCAAGACGATCTGCTGCAGTTCAAACCGAGCATCAGAATAGAGAAGAAAGGGGATTTAAATGACTGAACGTGGCATGTTTGTCGGTGCCAGATGGGCTGGGATTTTCACGCACAAATATCTCTAAGGTTTACAGAAAATAGTTCGAAATGAGAATATTTCCAGTGAGCGGCTTTTCTGTGGGTGCAGAGGCCTTGTTGATGCCAGAGCGCAGAGGAGAATGGCCAGACTGGCTCAAGCTGATAGAAAGGCGACAGTAACTCAAATAACCACTCGTTACAACCGAGGTCTGCAGAAGAGCATCTCTGAACTCACAACACATTCAACATTGAGGCAGATGGGCTACAGCAGCAGCAGAAAACCACACCTGGTGCCACTCCTGTAAGCTAAGAACAGGAAACTGAGGCTACAATTTGCACAGGTTACTGAAATTTGACAATAGAAGATTACCAGACAATATAGAAAATCTAAAAAAATCTAGAAAATATGATCAAATCACCTCATTTTTTTTTCTATTGCTTCTTACCTATAAAGCTTAAATAATCTAGCTCCTGTTTATCTAACCAACCTTCTGTCTCGCTACAATCCAACCCGGGATACAATCCAACCCTTTAGGATTTCAAAACTTAGGGCTTCTGGTAGTACCTAGAATAGCAAAGTTGAGTAAAGGAGGTCGAGCCTTCTCATTTATGGCTCCTAAACTCTGGAATAGCCTTCCTGATAATGTTCGAGGCTCAGACACACTCTCCCAATTCAAAACTAGATTAAAGACCTATCTTTTTAGTAAAGCTTACACTCAGTGCATCACTTAGCTGTATGATACATGAATGTGCTCCACACAGGTTTTTGCATCTCGTTTATATACACTGTGAACAGCAGCTATGCTATTTATTGTCTTTATTCTCTTTTTCCACCTGGGGATACTCGTCCCGAGGACCTCAGACTATGCAGCGTCACTGATTTGATCCAAGACCAGCGACGAGATAATCCCAAGGTTTCCATATCCTGAGCAGCTGCTGTGGTGGTCATGGAGGAGTGGAGAGCATGAGACTGATTCCTGTGATGCTCCAGGGACAGACGAGTCTTCGCTGAGGTTCAGCTTCCAGCCTCCGCCGCTGAGACTGCAGCTCAGCACAAGTTGTTTGGCCAGCAGAGAAATGGAAATGGTCGTGCCCAACTGGGTCTGGTTTCATTTGAGGTTTTTTCTTCACTTTCACCAATTGGTGAAGAAGTTTTTTTCCTCTTGTTGCTATCGCCACTAGCTTGCATGATTCAGGATCTGTAGAGCTACGTATCGATGAATTTGCTCTTCAGTGTTTGGACTCTCAGTAATGATTATTGAACCACACTGAACTGAGCTAAACTGAACTAAACTGAAACTCTGAAAATTGAACTGACACTGTTTCAATTTACTACGATCTTTTATGTGAAGCTGCTTTGACACAATCTACACTGTAAAAGCGCTATACAAATAAAGGTGAATTGAAAGATTGGAAAAATGTTGCCTGGTCTGATGAGTCTCGAATTCTGCTGCGACATTTGGATGGTAGCGTCAGAATTCATAATCAACAACATGAAAGCAGGGATCCATCCTGCTTTATATCAGTGGTTCAGGCTGGCGGTGGTGGTGTAATGGTGTGGGGGGATATTTTCTTGGCACCCATTAGTATAAATTGAGCATCATGTCAATGCCACAGCCTACCTGAGTATTGTTGCTGACCATATCTACCCCATTATAACCACAGTGTACCCATATTTTGATGGCTACTTCAAGCAGGATGTCGCATCATGTCATAAAATACGAATCATCTCAGACTGTTTTCTTGAACCTGACAATGAGTTCACTGTACTCAAGTGGCCTCCACATTCACCATATCTCAATCCAATAGAGCACCTTTGGGATGTGGTGTAACGGGAGATTTGCCTGTTGAGATGCTGATGTGATGCTGTCATGTCAATATGCACCAAAATCTCTAAGGAATTTTTGAGTACCTTGTTGAATCTATGCCACGAAGGATTAAGGCAGTTCTAATGGGAACCCTGCTCTAGCTGTACCTATTAAAGTGGCCGGAGTATACCCAAGATTTAAAGGGATTGTTCACCCCAAAATTTAAATTCTTCACTTGGTCGATACCTATTTGAGTTTTTTTTTCTTCTTTTGAACACAAGCGAAGATATTTTGAGCAATGCTGTTCGCTGAGACCATTGACTTAAATGTTAATGTAAATTTATTAGCAATTATTGCAACTGTCAAATTATCTAACGTATATCCGAGATTAAAAGGGATAGTTCACCCAATAAAAAAGAAAATTCCCTACTTGTTCAAAACCTATTTGAGTTTCTTTCTTTCTTTTTTTTTTGAACTCATTGACTTCCATAGGAATATTTTGGTCCCACTTTATATTAAGTGGCCTTAACTAATATGTACTTACACAGGAATTAATATGTAATTTCATCTGTAATTAACTTTTGTAATTACATTTGTAAATACATTGTTGACCATCCCTTACACCTTAACCCACCCTTAAACCTACCCATACCACCAAACCTGTTCATAACCCAACCTCTATCCCAACTCAAAAGCACCACAAGTGTCCTCAAATACATCATAAACACAGTAAGTACATTGTATTTATTTTTTTGATGCAAGTACATAGTAGTTAAGGACACTTAATATAAAGTGGGACCAATATTTTTCCCCTGCTATGGATGTTGATGTGTACCAACGAGGGTAAGTAAATGCGGTCGGTTTCAATTTTTTGTGAACTACCCCTTTAAAAGCCTTTTCATTTATCAACCTGCAGAAAAAGACTTTCAGTCTGTAAAGACCTTTGAAATAACTTCCTTTGGAACACTAGTATAGCACTTCAATGCATTTTCAAAACGTGTTCTGAACTACCTTAGCTGTAGGGTTCCCTGAATATAATTGCCCACCTTAAAACTTTGACCAATCAGAATCAAGCATAATACAAGTATAATATTAAAATAACCCTCCAGAATGTCTCTATTAATAAAGTTCCAAACAATACATCTCCATACCCGCAAAAACGAGCCCCATTGACATCTAAAGTATGCCTGCCCGGCTAATGCTGGTCTCTATTGTCCGTTCACTAATGAGGATAAGAGTGACGACTCCCTGACAGGACGGATCTCTTTGCAGTGCAGTTGGCTAATAGTATTCAATGGCTACTGTCAGAAAGAAAGGCCAGCGGGGTAGGACAATGTGCTATTCTCTCTCTCTCTCTCTCTCTCTCTCTCTCTCTCTCTTTCGTTCTCTGTCAATTTTGCCCTGTAATGAGAGCCGAAGCTTGAATCCCCAGCTGTGGAGTTCCTTCTCTGAGGATTACGGCCCCCGACCGCTAACCCGTCAACTGCTGCTGCTTTTAACCAGGGGGGCTCCAGGTCCCTGCCTGGTTCGAGTCCCATAGTGTTCTGAAAACCCCCCACATAACGCTAGAAGATTTCGCTGTGCCAGCCAGGAGACACTCAACACTTCGTATATAACAATAGTGATGTCATGTGTGAATACTTTTATAGGAGTTGTTTAGATTGTTCCTGGTCATTGAGCCAAACTGTGTGTCTAGGCTATAGGTGTTTATACTGAGGCTTGATTCAGCTTAAGAAATCTTTTATTGTTGTTGTTGTTCTTTTTCCAGAATGCTGGAGACATGGAGAGCATGCTAAACATCCTCAATGTCTTGGATGAGCTGCTGTCGGCAGGTGAGATACCCTTTTCTTAGAGCCAGCCTGTTGGTTTGTTTTTTTTTCTGTCGCATCTCTGCATTGATTTGCAAGTGTGCTGACATTTTTTAGTTTCTTCAACCGTGAGAAAGGAATCACTTTGTGTGTCTAAAAAAGAATGTAAATAAAAAAAAAAACAGCTTCATAAAAATAAATGTCATATATTAGGGTTCTTTAAATGTGGGCACTGAAATTAAATGATGTCCTTGTGTTAAATTTTGTCTTAATGGCTAACTTTTAATAAGCTTGTCTATTCATCAGTTTTCCATGTTAATATCCATCTATCCATGCATCCTTTACATCCATACATTCATCCATACTTGATTTGCTTGTATCCAGTGATTTACAGTAGTCAATCCATGTGTCCATTTCCATACATACATACACACATACATACATACATCATTTGTATCCATCATCCATCCATCCATCCATCCAGTTACCCATACATCCATCTCATCCATCCATCCGTCCATTCGTGCTTTCCATCCATCCATCCATCCATCCATCCATCCATCCATCCATCCATCCATCCATCCATCCATCCATCCATCATTTTATTAAATTGTCCATCCATCCATTTACCCATACATCAATTCATTCGTCTGGCTGTCCGTTCGTCCTTTTACATACATCCACATATTCATCCATCCTTTCCATTCATCCATCTTTTCCATGCATCCACCTATTCTTTTGTTCTTTCCATCCATCCATCCATCCATCCGTTTGTCAGTCTGTCTGTCCACCCTTTTATCCATCCATCCATCCATCCATCCATCCATCCATCCACCCATTTATCCATCTATGCATCCATTCATCCATCTCTTCCATGCTTGCATCAACCCATACTTTCACCTATCCATCTGTCCTATCCATCCATCCATCCATCCATCCATCTGTCTCTTCCTTTCTTCCTTCCTTCCTTCTATCCATCCACCCATCCACCTATCCTTTCAATCCATCCACCCATTCATCTGTCTCATCCATCCATCCATCCATCCATCCCTTCCATGCTTGCATCCACCCATATTTTCACCTATCCATCTGTCTTATCCATCCATCCATCCATCCATCCATCTGTCTCTTTATTCCTTCCTTCCTTCCTTCCTTCCTTCCTTCCTTCCTTCGTTCCTTCCTTCCAGCCGTCTATCTATCCCTCCGTCCATCCATCCATCCATCCACCCACCCACCCTTTCATTTCATCCACCCATTCATCTGTCTCTTCCATCCATCAATCCATCCATCCATCCCTCCGTCATTTTAATCTGTCCATCAATATGTCATTTCTTTCCAACCATTCATGCACTCATTTTTTCCATCAATCAAAAAATCTGTATTAATGGAAAGTCATTATCTCTAAAATAAAAGCTTTTAAAGCACTCATAGCAGCACTGAAGTTACTGTTAAAAGGAGACCTGACGTCAATGCACATTCAGTCCCACAATGTAATTGTAAATAACAGTTTCAGCCATATTTGTTTTCATAACTTACCCTTATCCACATCTATTATTCACAAACAAACTTATCAAATAATACTTCTTGTAGAGGTGGAGCCCTACCACCCTAATCCTGTCATCTGAAATTAATTCACAGCAAAGCAATTAGCCAAATTTATTCACCAGCCTCCAGCACAAAGTTCTAATCACTAAAGTTCAGGAAAAAAGTCGAAAATATACCCAGACATCATCTTGCGATAAAATGCCAGTAGCAAATTATTATCAGACTAAATTTGACATTTTGCGGTGAAATGATGTCGGTGGTTTTCTTCAGGCACAGACAGACGGATTCATCATATGATATCAAAAGGAGGGAGCGAGGCTTTGCTGACGGCTCTGGTGAATTCGGCGCGCAGCTTTACACCCAACTATACCATCCTACTGCCACTGCTGCACCTGCTAGCCAAAGTGGGCCATAGAGGTGAGTCATGGAGAGGAGGAGTTTAGAGAGGAGGGGTGGAGACAAAAAATGACTGACACTGTTTTTATGATTTATTTGTTTTATAATCATGATGGGTGTTTTTTACTAGTGGCAATGGTTTGTATAATTCCAGCCTGATCTCACAAGGAGTAAGTACTTTACATTTTGTCGGTTTAGTGGCTAATTCGTACAATTTTGCACAAAATGTATGATTTTACAAAGGAGGCATGGCACCCAACACCCAACCGTCATTGGGGGATAAGCAAATCATACTAAATTGTACGAATGAGATTGTACAAATTAGCCACTAAATCAAAAAGGTACAAATTGCAGTGAAATTGTGTTGTTCATTCCCTTATTTTAAAGATATTATCTTTTATTTAAACATTTAAAATTGCATTTTTATTTTTACGCATTCACATTTTTTCATTTCAATTTTAGGTTTTAGTAATTGTATGTGCTTTTTAAATGACTATTTGTTGCCTTTACTATTTTTATTATTTTTTGTAAGCATTAATTTCAGTTAATTGCACAATATTTAGAGAATATTCTTTTTTTTTCATGTTATATTTTTAAATAAATATTTATATTATTGTTATAAATGTTTATGTTTAATGTAATGTATTTATAGATATTTATATACAGGGCGGCTCGGTCACCTCACAGCAGGAAGGTCGCTGGTTCAAGCCTTGACTGAGTCAGTTGGCATTTCTGTGTAGAGTTTGCATGTTCTTCCCGTGTTGGCGTGGGTTTCCTCCGGCTGCTCCGGTTTCCCCCACAAGTCCAAAGACATGGGCTATTGGTGAATTGGGTAAACTAAATTGTCCGTAGTGTATGTGTGTGAATGGGAGTGTATAGATGTTTCCCAGTGATGGGTTGCTGCTGGATGGGCATCTGCTGCATAAAACATATGCCGGATAAGTTGTCGGTTTATTCCGCTGTGGCTACCCTAGATTAATAAAAGGACTAAGCCGAAAAGAAAATGAAGGAATGAAAGAATGAATATTTATATACAGGTTGATTCAAAAACAACTTTAAAAATCTGTATTTAATCAAAGAAACATGATGGAACTTTGGGTAATTAATCAATGTGAAGAGTACTTAACAACGTTTTTTCAAACTTTAGAGCTTGCTTAAATTGACGACAGAAAGAGCTTAGCTCTCCTTTTCTTCTTTGCAGAGTTCTCGATTTTCAAAGTTGTGGTATTATTTTTGAATCACCCTGTATATATTTTTCTTATTTTATATATATATATATATATATATATATATATATATATATATATATATATATATATATATATATATATATATATATATATATATATATATATACAACGATGGTTTATTTTAGAATTACAGAGAGTGCAGGCTTTATTTTGTTCATTGTGGTTTATTATAAAATTATGATTTTCTGCATTTTTATTTTACATTAGATTTTTCTCTGTTATTATTTTGGTATAGCTTTTATTTATTTATTTAGGTTATTTAACTCCATTAAAAAAATTTCTTTGCCAATTAGCTGAATTAAAAGAAAACTATAATATAACTGGCATCAGAAATAATATTTTAAAGACAGTATAACACCCACATTCCCCTCTCCAATTCCAAATGCTTCATGCTGTTCACAATGATTTATAATTTAATCATCTCAGTGTTTCTGAATTCATTGCCGAATAACTATAAATAGCACCTCTCCCAAAATAGCCATGCCTCGTGTGTGAGTGTGTGAGTGTGTGTGTGTGTGTGTGTGTGTGTGTGTGTGAATAGCCCATAAGTCAGATCCAGCCTAGAAGGTGCAGACAGCAAACGTAGGGTCACTCTGGGGTCAGGAAAAAGCCCTCAGTCCTGCAGGGTCACAGGTCACTGTCTGAGTGTCATGAGTACATTTTAATGTTTGGATGTTATGTCATTCAAGGAGGAGAGTTTTAAACCCTCGCTGGAGATCCAATGTCTGTCAGCTTTCCACTCTCACACTTTGAAGCCTGTCCTAATGAACCCAGAGTCAAAACAGCAGGCAGTGTTTTTTCATCTATCCCGTTTAGACTAAACACTTCTAAAAACAAACTCCATCTGTTGTGAGAGCAGGATTTTTGTGTGCGATCTTGCTGTTTTTTTTTTAAGTGTTTGTAATCACTAGGCCAAAGGGATGTTGGGTCATTTGAATGATTTATCTTGCTTCCCTCTTTAGCCAGTGTGTTTTTATGGATTGGGGTTTTTAATAATACGATTGGATTTATAAGTGGTTCATAATGGTTTACAGATCCACTAATAGTTCATGTACACTCACCGGCCACTTTATAAGGTACACCTGTCCAACTGCTAGTTAATTTCAAATTTCTACTCAGTCAATCACACGGCAGCAGCTCAATGCATTTGGGCATGTAGACATGGACAAGACGATCTGCTGCAATTCAAACCGAGCATCAGAAGGGTGAAGAAAGGTGATTTAAGTGACTTTAAACGTGGCATGGTTGTTGGTGCCAGATGGGCTTATCTGATGCACAACCATCTTTAAGGTTTACAGAGATTGGTCCAAAAAAGAGAAAATATCCAGTGAGCAGCAGTTTAGCTTACCAAAACTGCACAATAGAAGATTGGAAAAACGTTGCCTGGTCTAATGAGTCTCAATTTTTGCTGCGACATTCGGATAGTAGAGTCAGAATTTGGCATCAACAACATGTAAGCATGGATCCATCCTGCCTTGAATCAATCACTTATTAGTGCTTATAAAGTAGAAATTCTGGAATCTTAGAGATTAACTTTTGGGTAAACCGTTTCTTTAACATGAAGGGTTTTTTTTTGTAATCCATGTTTAATGCTGTAATGGCATTAAAATGTTATGTTGAACTTATTAGAAATTGGTCATGGGGAAATTCTGATTTAGAGCAGGGGTGGCCAAACTTTTCCTTATGAAGGCTCAGAAACCAAATTTGATTGAGGGTAGTGGGCCAGGGGTGAATATAGTTGCCATGGATAATTTCCTGATTTAATAAACAGTATTGTTTTTTACATATTAATAATGAACTTACTACAGTAAAAACATTCTCATTTGTAACATAATGGAGTAACACTGGTTTTTGCCGTGATTTGCTCACAATATTGCTGACAGTATTTCCATTTTTTAAAAATCTGATTTATATACAACATTTAATTTCAGTTAGCTTTTTTTAGTTCTGAAATAAAACACACCAACCCTCCCTATCATTCTCACTCTCTTCTAAAATGGAATGGTGGGCCATATCAAAGGTTACAATGGGCCAACTTTAGCCCGCGGACCCTACTTTGGGCATCTCTGCTTTAGAGTTTGGATATCACACTGGGTTAGGGTTAACCTAGGTTTAACCATACACACACGTTTGTTTTTGTGAATTGTGAGGACATTACATACAGTAGGTTTCTATTTTATTTATACTGTACAAACAGCATTTGTTATTGCCTTAACCCCACCCTACTCCTAAACCCAACCCTTATAGAAAACTGTGTACATTTTCTGAAAACACTTATTCTGTGCGATTCATAAGCTTGTGTTCTCATATTTCACCACCTTTATGTAATACCTGTGCCATATCTGTGTCATTATACAGATGTTTCAGTCCTGATATGTCACAAAAACATGTACACACACACACACACACACACACACACACACACAGAGCTAACCATTGTATTCTATTTTGTTATACAAAGCTTATCCTTTTTGGATCACACTTTATTTTAAGGTACAATTCTCACTATTAACAAACAATCAACTATGACTTTTGATATTTCCCTCAGTGAACTCCTAATGTCCCACTTATTTAATTGTTATTGTGGTAATGTTAAACAGATATGATACAAATATCAAATCAATTCAATTATCTGTTCAATCGAGGTGGATTTTCGGTCATTCTATGTATCATTCCCTCCTCACAGTTCAATTAATCACTGCTTCTTTGAGTTCTTGCTCATGTCGGTATCAGAGATATATTATAGGTAGGTAACAAGCCACTAATTCTAATAGTAAGAACTGACACTTCTTAAACCAAAGTTTCCCCTTTTTGTATCTAGTAAACTTTTAAATAGTAATATCAACCAAACTGTATAATCATAATTTAAAAATATAATTGCCTTTTTTTTGTATGTTAATTCCAATGTTTGTTGTTGTTGTTAAATTCACTGATTGATTGGTGGATTCATTGTTGTTGCGTTTTAATTTAAAATGAATCTGTTGGATTTTGAAAGTGACGTTGTTCCTTTAATACCTCACTTTCCCATTAGACATCCCAGAATGTGGTTTTGATCTCCAAAGCAAAGCAATCTGTTTCATCGCAGCTGCCAAGAGCTCAAATATGAAGCTTTCCACGATCCCCGTAGTGAGCAAAACACTGTCAGGATGAGACATTACAAATGCGTGCTTTATAAATGTCAAAGAGGAACATCATTTTCTTATTTCCCTCAGATCGCCAAATTGGTCTGAAAGCGCAGAAGGCAGATGCTGTTCTGGTGGTGTTGGGTTTGCTGCGGCAGAATGTGGAAAACGCACGCAGAGCCGCGGCCTGCCTTTGGGTCCTCAGAGTGTTCTGCTCTTCGGGTGAGTCAGATCTGAAATCTTCTAATCTACAAGTTCTTCAAGATTTAAATGAGATGAACTAATGTCAAAAAAACGAAAAAAAAAAAAAAAACCTGAAGAACTTTTCTTACTCAGCTGTGAGTTTTCAGTCAATTTAGCATTTGATCCTCAGTTGCCTCAACTAAATAAAACTATTGACCTTATTCTGCAGTGCGGAAGTACGCTCGTTTTTACGATTGTTTTAGAACTTCTGATTCAGTTGCCTATGGGACAAATAATAAAATGCAGAAAACGGTCAAACTACTTGCTCTACAAACAAGTATGTTCATGTCTATACATAAAAAAGTGAATAATAAAAAAAGAAAATATCTGTTTGCAACATCTAGCCGCATAATTGTCATGGAATGTGACACTGACAAAGGAAGTGTGGATCCGAATGCAGCTTTATTAGAGAGGTCAGGTAAGCAATGGTCAACACAGGGGCAAACAGAGCAATCCAGAGTCATAGTCAAATACACAGGCAGATGGTCAGAAGGCAGGCAGCAGACAGAAATAAACATAAACAAGGTGAGTTTCAAAACACAGCAAAGCAAGACAAAGGAAACGTGTTGTAGTGTCACCAATACAGTAAACAAGACTCAGCAACAGTGTGTGTGTCTGTGCTGCTTAAATAGTTCATGTAATCAGTCCTTGACAATCCTCCGGCTGTGTGTATGCAATCAGTCAGGATTAGGAACTGCTGTGAGTGTGTGTGGTGCATGACTGGATCTTGTGGTCCATGAAATGGTGTATTTTTAGTCTGTTAGCGATCAGTGTATATTTCAGCGATCTGCTCAGGCTGGATCGCTGGTGACCATGACAATAATACGCTGTTTTTAATGTAAAAAAATGTATAATCTATGGAGGTAAATTAGATCGGAAGTTTTGAGCCAAAAAGATTTCCAATAGGTTTCAAGTTTAAAGATAAATACAGTAAATACCTGTTTAAAAGTTTGGGTGAAGAAGTAAAACATTTAGTTTGTTATGATGACTAACACTGCCAACATAGGCTCATTCGGAAAACATAGCCCTGCTTCTGGACATCATGGTTTATGTAGCCAGAGGAACGTCTTTTAAACACTTCGTCTTTAAAACGAATGCTACGGGGCATATGTCAGTGGACTTGAGACAAAGAGAGGAGTTGATCGTGACGATGGGGTTCGAGTCTGGCCTAGAACGATTCCAGAAAGCAAGTAAGACGAAAACAAAAGCCAAAAAAAATTAAATAAACAAGTAAAAAACAGCATGAGAAAGTGGTAAAATCAGAAAACATTGGAAAAATCAGGCGATGGCTAATGCAAGGGCTTTTCTTTTTCTGGATTGCTTTTGAAAACACTGTCGGTTGGGATTAGGGAAGTGGGTGGACGCTGGTCAATCGGTGCTTTTTAAAAACACTATCAGTTGGGTTTTTACGAAAGAGGAGGGTGAACCAGTCGATTGGTGAGTCAGTTAGTCAGTCAATCAGTCGACAGTGGCCTCTAGTGGATTTACGCGAGAAGAGCAGGCATGAATGCCACTCACGAGAGAAATTTCTCAAAAGGATACGCAGAGGCCTCTGGTAGAATTGTGAAAACAAAAACTGCAAAAAAACATAGCTTGTGAATTTTGCTCTCTCCAGAAATGTATATAGGGTTGAGTTTTCAGAATGAGCCTGGGTTGAACACTGCATTTTTTTGACCACACACATGAGCACATATAGCTTTACATCTTTGTGAAACTCCCTATATACTAAATAATTTTTATACCTTTGTGAAATTATATATATTTTTTACCATTTTCATATACTTTGAGTCATTTTTCTTCATGGGGACTTAAAAAATGTCCCCACAAGGTCAAACTTTACAATTGCTATACTTGACTAAATGTCTCCAGAGTGTAAGGAATACAAAAAAACGGTATACACACACGTTTGTTTTTTGTGAATTGTAGCCACAGTACATACAGTAGGTTTCCATTGTTTTTGTACTGTACAAACTGTATTTTCTTTTGCCCTAACCCCACCCTACCACTAAACTCAACCCTCACAAAAAACTATCTACAGTTTTACTTCATGCAAAAAACTCATCCTAGACTCATTCTGAAAACGTAGCCCTCTATACATTTCTGGACATCACGATTTATGTATCCAGATCTACGTATGGGTGCATTTCGTCATTAAAAAGAATTCTATGGGGCGGTATGACGGCCTTTCTTTTCGCGCTTACCAGCTGACGGCTTACCTCCATATGGACCACTTTTCCAGTGCTACCAGTTTGTTCAGTGGCTTGCCATGTTCCAGTTCCAGAAAGCAGGTAAGATAAAATCAAAAGCTGAAAAATTAAATAAACAAGTACATAACATGGGAGAATGTGGTAAAATCTGAAAACGTGGTTAAAATCAGGCTAGGGGCTTTTCTTTTTCCAACGGTGGGGTTGGCGGTGGGTGGGTCAATCAGTGCTTTTGATCACACTATCAGTTGGGTTTAGGGAAGGCGGTGGGAGGGTCAATCAGTGCTTTTGAAAATATTATTAGTTGTGTTAGGGATGGGGAATGGGTGGGTTAGTCGATCGGTCAGTCAGTCAGTCAGTCAGTCAGTCGACATTGACCTCTGGTGGATTTACTCGAGAAGAGCAGGTGCAAATTGCACTCGCAAGAGAAATTTCTGATCTCGAAAAACTTACATAGCGGCTTCTGGTGGATTTGCGAAAACAAAAACTCCCAAAAAAAAAGTACCTTCTGGGATGCTCTCCATAAATGTACATGGGAGTACATTTTCAGAATGAGCCTGGGTTAAAAAAACAATTCTGCGTGACATCAGCAAAGTCCTCATATTTCACCATAATTTTGTATTACCTGTGTCATACCTTATTATTACTCATTTATGTCCTGATATGTCACAAAAACACGTACACACATGCACAGGCACGTGCACACATAGGGCTCAACCTGTGCAGTGCACATGCCCTTTTTAGTCTTGGATAGAAAGTGCCCTTCCAAAATGATCAAAAGTGCCCCCGCGACGCGGCACACCTTCGGTCCCGCCCTTCAGTAGGCGTGCGACAACTCCGCTCTTGAGTACGACAGTAGGCGTGCGACAACACAGCTGATCAGTACACGCGCGATAACACTGCTCTTCATTACGCGCGCTTTCACTCCCCCCCCCCCTCCCCTTTATCCTGCACATGCCCTTTGGACAGTCTCTGCACGGGCCTGCACATGCACACACACAAGGTGAAAACAATACTATTATCAGACATTACTATGTTTTAAAAGTACATTTCTGTTTAATACGTTTAAAACAATGTATTTCTGTGATGGCAGAGCTGAATTTTTCAGTCCTACAATCCAATCTTCTATGTTGTCATTCATATTTGCAAAAACATACCTGGAATATTACATAAATAATGTACAAATGCAGCACTGCTTTATCGCCATGGAGCTTTTTATTAATAATAAACGATTGTAGCTTGTTTCCCCTACATAATAAATAATTTGTGCTTCAGAGCCCACAAACGGCACACAATAACAATAGCTGTCATGTTAAAGTATGTTGCGGTCGGTTGCTTGATCTTTGGGAACATAACCTTTTGTGTCAGTTATAGGACGTCATTTAATCAAGTTGTTTTGATGACAGTCTTAGTATGGGCATGTTATAATGACTGAAACAACATTTGAAAGGGTGCCCATTGAGATTGATCAGCTGGTTGACAACTGTGTGATGCTGTCATGTGAATATGGACCAGAATCCCTGAGAAGTATTTCTACCACTTTGCTGATTCTCTGCCAGAGATGTTTTAAAGGGATAGTTCACTCAAAAATGAAAATTATCCCATAGCTTGCACACCTTCAAACCATCCTTGGTCTAAATGACTTTTTTTCTTCCAGATGAACACAGTCAGAGTGTTGTTTAATTGTTTTCCTGTCTCCTGACAATCCTTTATCTGGCTATCCTAACATATTATGTATGACGTAAGACACATTTATAATGGAAGCTTTGGGAATAGACGCATCTTGCAGGAACCTCTTGCCACACTGTTTGTTCACCACCGAAAATAACAAACAAGAACTAGTTGGCTTTGTGTTACTGTATACTTTTACACAGTACAGTATATTAATCTTGCTATATTGCATACGTGTGTCTACCCATCTTAAATCATGCTTCATTAATTGTGTACATTGCCGTGCATTACATGTAATCGGCCACCACTAGAAGTCAGTGATTGAAGTTAAAGAGTTTTTCCATTCTTCATTGTCTGTTTTAAAATAATATCTTAATACTCATCTTCTCTCTTTGGCCTTTTATACCTGTAGATTTTCATTATTGTTTGTTTGTTTTATGGTTTACTAGGCATTTTGGATTTAAAGTGCTTTATAAATAAAGATGCACTGATTAATAAAAATGATAATAACAAAAAATATGTATTTATTTAACTCTTATGTGCTCTTGGGGATGTCTTCATTCCCTCTGGGCTGTTTTTGAGGCTTAATGTGGCCACAACTTTCTCGTTGTTTCAGCAAATGGAATGACTTTTGGTGACAAATCTTATTTGGCCTCATATTTTGCTTTGACATTTTCAAAAATTCAACAATACATTCTGGGCATATTTACTACCCTTTTGTTATGTTGGTGGCTGTTTTTGCTATATTGACTTCCATTAAAAAGGCCTTTATTAATTGCAAAACCAGAACAGTCAATAGGTCAAAAACAACCACGCACATAATGAAAAGAGAGTCAATTTGAACAGTACACAAGGGTTAATATTTCTTCCAAAAACACCTTGATCCACTTCATAAGGGCTTACACCAGGGCCGGAGTGGGACTCCTTTTCAGCCCTGGAGTTTCAAGCCTCAGACCGGCCCACCTCAGTTCACGACTGACTATATTAAAATAAGGTCATTTCCAATTCAGTTTCTAATTACACTATCACATCTTTTTTTTTGAGAAACAGCTGCTTTAGAACTTCAAATGTTCAACAACCCTAACAGTATTATATGTCTTAACAATAAATATGAAAAAAATTAGTTACTCAAACAAGGATCAAACCCAGGTCGGTGGCGTTGTAACCTAACGTGCTAACCACTCGACCACAACATAGATAAAAAATAGATAAGAGGAGCAGAGCTGCGGTAAAATAATGAATAAGAAGACTGTGGTCAAGTTAATAAATTAATTAATTTAAAGAGTGTGACTGCTGAGAGCAACAGATTCTGGAGCTAGGGACACCGGCCCTCGCGGCCAAAAAACGGACCGGCCCACCGGGAATTCTCCCGGTCCTCCCGATTAGCCAATCCGGGCCTGGCTTACACTCTTGTTTTGTGTTTTTTAAGGCATCATGCGCATGAGAATCATATTTTTTAGACTCCATGTCAAATTAAAGAATTGACATTTTTAAACTTAGGCACTAAACAAAGTCAGTTCCAAAGCAGTGGACCAATAAGAAGGACTCCGAGGTGAACAGTGGCTATATTTTAAAACATTCATGCTCTATGTTGTGCTTTTTTAAAAACCATTGCATTTTTAGATGTAGATACGCATTTGAGTCCTAAAACATGTGTCTAATCATCTGGTGGCGTTAAGTGGAGTTAGTTTTACGACGGATTCATGCACTTTTAGAAGCTTCAAAATAAACGCCACTATCCAACACCATTATACAGCATAGATTAAACTTTAAAACCACTCCAACTGTCTTCATCTGTCTGAAAAAGGCATATATACCAAGGATGGCTTAAGGGTCAATAAATTATTTGGTAATTTTTATTCAACCAAGGCTTATTCTGAAAACATACCTCTGTATATATTACTGGAGTGCGCCAAATACGTTCCAGGAGTTACATTTTATTGCGATTTTTGTTTACACGAATCCACCTGAGGTGGCTGTGTATGCTTTTTGAGATCTCAAATTTCTCTCGCAAGTGCCATTCGCTGTT